CCCAGCCTGGGGGCTTGAGGACCCAAGTCACATCATCAGGGGAATCCCCTCCAGAGTTGGTAGGTAATGTTTATTGCAGAGCAGAGGCTCTCACCTTTCATATCATAATGTTTGGAAATGGAATCGAGACTAAAGGAGGATAGGAAGGGAGGAGACAGGGATTGGTTGGAAGGAAGATGACACCCCCCTACCCCTTGGTTCTTTAGTGTAGGGGAATGTGAGAGGCTGGCTAGCAGAGATGTCTGAAGCTCACAGTTGGGTAGGGGACAGTTAAGTGAAAATCAGTGTTAACATGGAGTTCTTCTGTGGAGCCTAAAACTTTGGATCCATTACTTTTTCCAGGAAGGATGATGTTCAAAGTGTTGTTAGTGCTCAATTAATAATCCCTTACCATAGTCAAGAGTTTGGGCTTGGGGTTGCCTTTTCTAAAATCAAGTTTTGAGGCTGAACTGTATTAAGTTGATCGTGCTCAGCCATAGAGTTTGCACAGCACAAGCTGATGAAACCACTTGGAATCTCCAGGCACATTATGCATTTCTGCCTCCTCTCAAATTTTGCAGCACCTTGTACAAATGGGAAAGACCTGAACCCCCATGATGTTTTTTGACTACAAAGATAATTACTTGGAGCAGCTATTCCAACGATGGCTCACATGGAGGCCCTGCCCTGCCGTGCAGAGCCGTCTCTAACCATGATTGTCTGTCACGATGATTACCCAAACTCTGGAATTATAACAATAGATTTGACAAAGTTAGAGCATAATTGCACCGCCGTTTTACAAGTCAGCACAGTTTAAACAACTTTGATCTTTCAAATGATATCAGACTTCTGTTATTCCTCCTGAAACAGCAGAGTTCAGAGGCAGTGGCTCTGAATGATACCTCCATTTTAATCACAGTGAGGCATCGATTGGTGGAAGCAATTCACCTGTTAGAGAAATAAGGGATGAGGTTGGGTGGGGAAGAAAGAATACAGACCTGTGGTGTTAAACCCCAGCTCTGCCACCTAGAAGCCACGTGGCAGGGAGAGAGTCACTCACCTTTCTGAGACTCAACTTCCTCACCTATAAATACCTACCTGCATGAATCATTGCGAGTATTAGCAATGTATATAAAACACCTAACTGGTGCCTTGTGCTAACAGGCTATTGTTAAGCTGTACCATCACCCCCACGTCATCATCAATTGTTATCAGTTCTCTGGCTTCAGAATCCTGAGTCTTTGGACTTGGCAAAGACTTCACTTGCCGCGTGAGTTTGTTCGGAGCTGGTGATCAGGGATGTGGTATTTTCACTAAATGAGGGATGGAGCTTTGCAAGAAATTAGCACTAAAGGAGAAATGGCCACCTGAAGACAGAATGTTTTGGTTTCGTGCTGTGCGAGTCCTTATGAATACTTTGCCTCTTTCTGCCTCAGTGGTTCTCAGCATTTCGTGTGCATTTGATTAGGATTTCCAGCTTCTCTCTATAGGCTCCAGACCCTGCATGTAAAAGGGCTGGAATAGCCCGGGATTCTGCATTTTTAGGAGTGCATCTGGTGATTTTGAGATAGATGGTTCAGGGATATCTATCCGGCCCGCTCCCCCTAATGGAGAAACTGCTTGATGCATGTGTCTGTGAGTGAATTTGTGGTTTATAAACATTAGCAAATCCCCTGCTTCTGGATGGCCCAGCTCAGACGGCCACAACCAGAACAGCATGCCTGATTTTCCTGGGAAGGAAAGAAGTGACAGCTTCTTTGACCATTCCAGTGTCTGGGCTTGAGCGTCCCGCCACCCCCAAAATGTCACCTATGTGACTGCATCCAGCATCTGTCGGTCGCCCCCAGACTGACGCTATCTTGGTGAGCTAAGGCTGCTGTCTTCCCTGTGCTAGCTCATTCAGGAGCCACTGGCATGATCAATGAGGCCCAGCAGCCAGGCCCACCTCTGACCGCCGTTGAATCGGCCTCTGTGGAGCAGGAAGCACTTGGGCTGACTCGTGTCTGGCTGATGGCTTTTCTGTGTCATGTGTCATCCTTGATTCCATACAGTTTTCCTATGTGAATGGGTTGGAGCTCCTGTAGACAGCCCTGTGGTAGCTGTGTCCCTTCTGCCACATCCCCCACTAAAGACCTTGACAGAATTTTGGTTTAGGGGTGACTGCTTCAGAAGCAGAGCCAACACTTAAAAAAAAAAAATTGAGGTGAAAATCACAAAACAAAATCAACCATTTTAAAATCAATTCAGTGACAGCTGGTACAGACACAGTGCTGTACAACCACCACCTCTATTTAGACCCCAAACACTTCTATCACTGCAAAAGGAAACCCCATACCCCCTGTATTCATTTTCTAGGGCTGCTGTAACAAAGCACCGCAGACTGGGTGGCTTCAACAAGCAGTTTTGTGGTTTCACAGTTGTGAGTGTTGGAAGTCCAAGATCAAGGTGTCCGCAGGCAGCGCTGGTTCCCTCTCAAGGCTGAGGGAAGAATTGTTCCTTGACTTGTAGACGGCGGTCTTCTCCCTGCACCCCTTCACCTCATCTTCCTTCTATGCATCTCTCTAGGTCCAACCTGCCCCTTTGTATAAGGACACTAGTCCTATTGGATTGGTGCCCACCCTAATGACCTCATTTTAACGTGATGACCTCTATAAAGACCCCATCTCTGAATAGGTCACATTCTCAGGTACTGGGACTTCAATATAGGAATTTGGGGAGACGCAATGCAACCCATAGCACCCACTGTGCAGTACTGTATCAGTATCAGCACTTCATTTCTTTTTTATGGCTGAATAATATTCCACTGTCAGTAAACGCTTGTATTTTGAACACCAAGTGCAAAGCAACTGCCGGTGAATTCACCCACTGGGCAGCTGAGTATCTTATTATAGGCTGTGTATCTATCTACATAAGGTGGAGTGTTGATCTCCTGGGCACATCTCACAGATCTCAATCTGTAAGCTTTTTCTTACTGTCTTCCTGGAAAGAGCGATTGTCTTTATGAGCAAAAGTAAAAGGAAGGACTTAGGAACTGGAAGTCAAGCTCCTGGTCCCAGAATTTGTTTTACAAATAGATTTCATCTTTGATTTTTCTCTCTCCTCTTCCTGCTTGTACCCTGAGCACCCTGCCTCCCCCCCAAGCACTCACTTACGCTCATGTTAAAAGCATTTTAAGTGCCTACCATCCTGGGGGTGTGTGTGGGGGTGTAGCACAGATAGAAAGCACTGCCCTTTAAGAAAACCCAGCCGGCTGCTGTTCCCATTGTCATGGTTACTGGGTCTGGTCCCTGGGGCTGGCCTCAGACCAAAGCCTTTCAGATTCTCTTCACACTCCCCTCCCTGCATCTGCCTCAAAATGCAAGTGGGACCTTCCAATGTGTGTGTCCTCTCAGCTTTGGGACTGACAGCGCTGTTGATTTGTACATTTCACCTGCCCCCTTCATTTAAAATCTGTTTCTCTCTCTCATGCATGGAGGCAGGAGACCTGCTGGCCTGGGCTCTTTGGGGAACAACCCAGAGCTGTCATTAGCCTGCTGCAGGCGCAGGCCCCTTTCCCGATCCCAGGGGCCTTGATGATGGTGGTGACATTGTGTGTGTGTGTGTGTGTGTGTGTGTGTGTGTGTGTGTTTCACACCGTATCCGCAGGAGGGATCACAGCAGGATCTCCTTGTACTGCCTTCCAACTCTTACTTCTACAGAAGTCGTTTTGTTCCCTCCGTCCTCCATCTCCATCTCTTTCCCTCCCTCTTTCCCTTACTTCCTCTCTCTCGCTGTCAAATTTGTTGGATGAAGAAATGCCTGCTGGCCCCAGGGTTTTCCAGGAGACAGGAAAGAGTGGAGCAGCTTAAAAATGCAGAGAGGGGCCGGCTGAGTGGCGTGATGGTTAGGAGCTGGCTTGGGATGCCAGAGGGCCCCGGTTCAGATCCCACATATGAGGGACAGTGACACTGCCCTCCACAGCTAAGATGCTGAACAACAGCTCAACCTGGAGCTGGGCTGCCGTGAGTCGCTGGCGACGGCGTAGGCTGCAGCCCCTGCGGCAGTGGGTTGCCATAAGCTACCGTGTGTAGCCAGCAGCCAGCGTGAGCAGCCAGCAGCCGCCGTGAGCGGCCGTCCAGAAGCCGGCGACTGATCTGCCTCGCCTGGGAAGAGCGCAATGATGGTGCCAACTTGGGCCAGTGAAGCAACGTCCTCCATAACTAGACTGAAGAACAAAACGACAGCAACTTGTCTGTTCCCCTTCCCCGATTTCCCCAGCACTGTTCCCATCCCCCCAATTCCCCAATAAAAATCTTTAAAAAAAAATGCAGAGAGGACAGAAAGTGTTCATATTCTATGCTATTTCATGTTGTCATTTTCATATAAGCTTGTGTGACTTCTGGAACCTCAGGCTGGAAGGCTCCACATTGTTAATGGAATTGGATAAACATGAGTTAGAGATACTGTAGATTTTCCTCATTGTGGATCAGCCTTGAGAACACAGGTTTCACTCCTGGTGGGGCTTGGGCATTTGGAGATTTTTAAATGCTTCCAGGGGATTCTAATGTCCAGCCACCTTTGAGAATAAGAGGTGAGGGAAGAGACAGGTGACATCTAATCCTCTTGTGCCCTGCAATGCAGTTAATTAGGCAGAAAGAAGGAACAGAAAGAACCTACCCTAGCCTGCCTTTTGCCGAAAAAAATAGAGCTTTAGCTCCACTTAACCCTGTAGGGCCCGAGTGGGAAGGGAGATTGGTGCTCCCGCCTCCCTGCTGCTGCCCTTGGTTGGTGGGCTGCCAAACCCTAAGGACCGCCAGCCACCCCAGCAAGCATTCGCCAAGGTGATGCAAAATGTTCACAGGAACATGCTGTTTCTACATTCTCCTCACAACTAGTTCTGCTCCTGTCTCCCGAGGAAAAGTAACATCAGGTCCATGTGCCAGCTTTCTTTTCTCAGCAGAAAGGGTTGATGGTATTAGTTGTTTGTGGCACCGTTTTCGGAGGCGAGCAGTGACCTCTCTCTCTGTCTCTGTGTTTTGCAGTACAAAATCGGACAGCTGTACATGATCAGCAAGCACAGCCACGAGCAGAGCGACCGAGGGGAAGGAGTGGAGGTCGTCCAGAATGAGCCCTTTGAAGACCCTCACCACGGCAATGGGCAGTTCACCGAGAAGCGCGTGTATCTCAACAGGTAAGTGGTGGCAGTCACCTTCAGGCTCTTACCACACAGGAGCCCCTCCCACCTGGCCCCGTGGCCAGACTGAGGTCGAGGCAGTGTCTGGAATGAAAAGGTGACTTAGAAAGTCATTACATATGCCCTCCACAATCACCAGTCTAGTTCCCTCCCCAGAACAGAATCCCCTGTGCCCCCAACTGCATTTCAGTAGGAGGAGCTTCCCTTTTATCTTTCCCAGTCCTTCAGTGACAGGTTAGGGTGAAATCTGAGCTTAAGGCTGGAAGGTCTTTGTCTTCTCCCTTGGTTCAGGATTAGCAGAAGAGAGATGGCTTTGCCTGTAAGGTGTAGAGAAGTGTCGAAGGTGGCAGTGTATCACTAGGGTCTTAATTTGGTAAGGTTTCCACTTAGCTGCCACATGACCCCTCAGGTGTCTGCAAAGGGAATTGACAAAGTGAACCTGTGACCAAAGTGATAATGCAATGCTAAGGTGATATCCACTTCTTAAGTGGACCCATCCTTCCCAAGCTGGAGGCTGTCACCTCTCCTTTGGAAGGGTAAAGAGTGGAGGGTTATAAACCAGCACTAATCAGGGCTACCATTTCTGCTTTGCAAAATTTGTTCTTTAATCTCTTGCTACTTTCTTATCACTAATGGTGTAATTACTTATTGGAGCTTGTTTGGTCTCCTTCCCTCCCTATGCCCCCCTCTAGCCCATTTCCTATCATTGACTTCATTTCTGGGTCAGAAATTTGTAGCCACATGCCATATGGAATGTATTTTATTGAAAGTAGCTCTCTATTCCAGTGAACCAGTGGATGACCAGTCTGCTATCATTTCTGTGAATACTCTTCAACCCCACGTACGGCCTCTCCTGTTGGCCCATTTGTGATTATTCAGAAAGCATTTCCAACATAATAGTTGAGCAGTTGTCCCAATTTACCCACTGGCACTTGTGAAGATTTGTCCATTCTCCATGCCTTGACCATCGTCAGATATTTCTAGAAGGAGCCATATTTGGATTCAACCCTTCTCACATAGCCTCCACCCTCTGAAAGGCTGAAGTGAACTATTGCTTCTTGATGGGGAGTTTGGGTCCTGTCACTAGAGTGTGTGGCAGTCTTGGGCTAATACCCTGACAGTTAAGGCCTTGGGCTGATTGAACCAACGTGTTTTAATCTGCCCAGGGATGCAGTACCAAGGATTACCTGAGTCACGATGAAATGCAAATTAGATCGATCCTGTTCATCTGCTGATAGCTGTGAATTCCCAGAATTTGGAACCAGTTCATCTCTCAAATTTGGAACCAGTTCATCCCCCAGCCAGCTGTTAATTTGCAGGAGTAGCTGAGCTACAGGGCTTACCTGGGGATGACCCTCTTACAGAGACGGGTTTCTCAGGATGCTGCTTTGGCCTTGTTAATGTGGACAATGTCGTTCAAATATAAATAGGAACCATCTCTGTAGAGCAAAGAGAAGTGAGGGAGATGCAAGAAAATAGATACGGACCTACAGAAAATTTCATTTCTTGGCAGCCAGATGCATTTTTCCAAGCTATTGCCTGAAGAATGTTCTTTCTCTACCAAATTTGAGAAAAAATGTGAAAAACTTTCTAACTTTTCCTGAAACACAACAAGAAGTGTCCGGCTGTCTCTGTCGCGTCTGTTTTCTCTATCAAAATATATTTATTTTAAAAGAGAATAATAAACATAAGTAAGAGGGAAATTTGTTATAAATAGAATATCTGGATTTCCAGGAATAGGAACGAAAAAGATTAATGTGGCCCTTCCCCCCACACCTCAAATGACAAACACAGGATGAAATATAACAATGTGAAGCTGAGTTCAAAACAAAGAAAGGGAAATCCTCAGGTACTAGAAATAAAGAGGAAACTCAAACCAGAGTGGAAAGCAGACGAGCTAATGCTAAGGAGGTTGGAGGATGTCAGAACCAAGTGTAGGCGCCGATATCCATCCAGAGGGTGACAGGCCTATGAGGGGACAGGAAACGTGGCCTTGGCCGATGCAAATGGAGCGTTGGAACTGAGAATCATGCATAAAAGTTGTTTTAACAGTCAAAGACAGAGAAGTCACTGCTCGAAGACGCATATTTAAAGCACTACTAGAGGATATACTCGAAGTAATAAGAAATTGAACCCAAAGAGGAAGGTGAGCGTCTAGAAGTAATAAAGAAACTGGTGCACATCTGGGCAAATCTGAGTGAGCATAGAATGTTGTGAAAATACTAATAATGAGTAATTGGGATGTCTGTGGAATTTAAATAATAGACAATAGTAATAGAAAAGGATAGGAAATATAATTTTAAAAAACCACTCTAAGTTGCAAATATTGTTTAAGAAGAGGGAGGTGTTGATTAATTTAAAATTCTTGAAGGCAAGTGTGCGTATTCAGGATGAAAATGCAACTCTAAAGGAGCAGGACAACAGTATATAACATCCAAGAGAAAAATTGATCAATTCAATAGAAGGCAGAGGAAAAACAGAATCCTATAAAAAGCATGGTAAATAGAAAAACATACATTTTGATGGTAAGATAAATTGAAATATATCAGTGGCCACAATACAGGCATGTGAATTAAATCCTAAACCTGAACCAAGATCAACAAATATATGACAACACTGACAAAACCACAAGGAGCCTAAAGTTGTAATGGGAGATTTTAACTTATTGGTTTAATAAGCTGAGAGATCGAGTAGATGAACAATTTAGCAAGCACAGAGAAGATGTCAACAACAGAATGACAAGCCTGATCTAGTGGACATTAACATGTTCTAGAGCTAATGTGCTTTTCAAACACATGTGAAAATGTACAAAAACTAATTAACTACACACTGGTCAGAAATCAATCTCAACACATACCAGAAAATCAATATCATGTAGATCGTGTTGGCCGATTACAAAAAGAAATTGATAACAACAACAAAATGAACTTTTTCATCATATAGAAATGGAAAAATTTCTAAATAATTCATGGGTTGCAAATGTCAGATACTCAGGTTTCCCAGCCGCCTTTACAGCTAGGAGTGGCCAGGTGACAGAGTTCTAGCCAGTGAGATGTAAGATTTTTCCTCCCTGATAAAAAGAGGAAGATATTCAAGAGAGGCACGATCTGCTTCTATGAAAGGGAAGAAATGGATGGTGACTGCTGGGAAGGCAACTATAATAATAGTTTCTACCACATGAACCTTGGCAGCAAAACTGAACAATAACAGTACAAAAGGGAAACTTACAGACCCATCTCAATTAAGAACATAGATGTGAAAATCCTATATAAAACATTAGCAAATCAAATATCTCAGAGTGTAATAATAGTAGGTCATGACCTGATCACATTTATCCCTGACTGTTAACATCAATATGAGAATGCTACACGATTATTGGGTGTAAAATCCACGTACAAAAATCACTAGCACTATTATACAGCAAGAACAATGCATAGAAAATAGAATTTTTAAAAATTCCATTTACAATGAAAAAAGAAACTTAAAGTTACCCAGTAACAAATCTACAAGATATACAACATCTTTTTGGAGAAAAATTAAAAACCTTAGTGGATGACATTTTTAAAACTCTACACAAATGGCAATATTCATGGTTGGGAAATACTGTATTATAAAGTTGACATCAATTCCAAAATCAATTATAAATTTAATGCACATCTAATAATGAAAATTCCAACAGTGTTGTTTTTTAAGTAGAATTTGAGAATATAATCCTAAAATTCCTATTTACTATAGTTTTATAAAGAGCCTTGATATCTGGTAGGGCTAATCCTTCCTATTTATTCTACTTTTCCAAAACTGTTCATATGAATTTTAGGATGAGAAACCCAAGTGACGTGAAAAATGACTGAAGAAACCAAGAACATTTAACCTAGAAAAGCTAGATAATGGGTAAAGCTGGATAATGACATAGTGAGGTGGGAGAAGAATTAGGCCTACGAAGTCTGTAAGCCCTCAGGAGGACCAATCGAAATAAAGACCAATGGGTGAGAATGCCAGGAGAAAGGTTTAGGCTCCGTTTAAGGAAGAAATCTCCTTTGTATGTAAGCCCTCTGAGAGCTCAGCAGGATGCCTTGTGGTCAGTTATGCTGTCACTGGGGGTGCTTGAGCATGAATGGGACACCCACTCATCATGCAGTCCTCAAACAGATTCAAACATCAAATAGACAGTTAAACTGGACAACCTTTCACATCCTTTTCAACCCTCATTTTCTATGCTCAAAGCATGTTTCAGACATTATCCTGACTCTTCCAGCACACATAAATGAGTAACCAATGAAGCACAGGAAAAAAGCACTTTTCGTTCCCTTTGTACAAATCTAAACTAGATCCATCATTTTATAATTTAAAAGGTTCTTGGCATATTTGGGAGAATATGGGCACATGTCTTAGAACCAGGGAGAAAAAAGGAAAAAATTGTTATGTGACATAACTATAAAATGGTATTTCCATAATTGTAAAAGAAAACCAGACCCATTATTTTGCAATTACAAACTAGAGTTAATCCATCTCAAGTTGACCCATGTCCTGCATGTACAGGTCATGGGACTGCCATGTTCATGAGGCTGCTTCATAATTGTAATTCATTAAATGGGCATTTATTGAAACTGTGCAACAAATTGTTCAGGTATTGGGGGGAATTCCTTAATACATAAGATATGGCCCCTGCCTTCTGATCAAAGTAGGGTCCTAAGCTGACTGGTTTCAGCGTTTGTGAGTCCATCTGTCCATCTTGTGAGTGATGTTAGGGAGGAAAACTTTTCCTCAACCCTCTTAGGATTAGTGATTGGGGCCCTGCGAATTAAATGGAAACTTACACATTAACAGGAGAAAAGAAATGTTTATTCACATATGTATGTGAGAACACCTAGAAAAATGTGACTCAAATGGATGGTTAGAATTTGGGGACTCACATACCATTTTAATAGGGGAAGAGGAGGGGAAGAAAAGGCACTTATGGGAAAATGGATGACTCTTATGAAAAATAAATGTCGCCT